GGACATTTGTGTAATTTTCAATAGTGACCTATTAAAAAATTAATTAAGTATTCATTTCAGCAGCTTTGTAGAAAAATTACCAATCGATTTCTTTGTTTAGAATTAAAATCCATCCGCTATTGACAGAATTATAAGTGGTCAAAACCTGACCACTTTTCGTAGCGCGGTCGATTTTGGTTTTTTTTATATATTTTTTCCTGATGTATTCTGATGTTCCTATATCTATGATGTATGTAAAAGTTCCTGATGATGAAAATCCCGGGATTGTTACATTTCCCGGGATTTCCGAATACGGAGAAATTAATTTAAAGTTCCCGGGAATTGCACACACATCTCTTTTTGTATATGATCGTTGTACAAGAAGCACTCGTGAAAAATACGATCTAGCAGTGAAACAAACCATGCACATTTTGATTCAATCAGATACATAGTTGATCGAAAGCCATTGAAACGCATTGTTAAGATGGTTGAAAGTACGTAGTGCTAGTCTCAACTGATGAAAAGACTCAGTATTTGCAGTTTTTAGAGTCCTTCCTTAGATTAGCGAGCGGAATGCTTACTCCTTCTGGAGGAACTTCTATATGTCACCGACTTCTATGTTGGCTTTCATAGCTCTCCCTGGCTGTCAACTGTTAGTATGTAATCTATGTAATCCTAAAGCACGACAAAATAGTTTTTACAAATACATTCATGAGAGAAATCATCCACCATAATCATCATGATCTGCACGGACTATTGTGAAATTTTGTTGAAAAACATAATATCACGTTCCATTAGTGAACTTCTTAGATGTCGAGAGACATTCATTTGATTTTAGAGAACTTCATAGAAGTTCGTGGAACTTCGTAAAAGTTCAGGGACCATCATAGATCTTCAGGATACTTCATAGAATGTTAAACAATTTCGTGGATGATGATTACGGAAAATCGCATGAATTATTTGAAATTCGTACAAGTTCAGCAAGCTGGGCAGAAATTCAGTTGTACCTATCGAAAAATTAAAAGCTGTAAGCTATGGAAAAATCTTTGAAATACTGGGAACTTCGAAGAAGTTGACGAAAAATCCCAGGATTTCGTAGAATATTCTACATATTCAGGGAATTTTATATAGGCTTTGAGTTCAAGGAACTGAGTTTAAGTTCAAGAAACTTCTTGAAAGTACACGAACCTTCGTATGAAGATATGCAAGTGTTCAAAAATTCAAAAGACGTCTTTTAGACATCCTTCCGAAACAGTTTGACTAGAGAGTATTTAAAGGATATACAGCTGGTCGGAGATTTAAAGACCTCTGGATATTTTCCAACACTGCAGGTCGATCAATTATTATTCTTAAGATAATCAACTGTTCGTAAAATTCAAATAACGTCTCTAGATAGTCTCTCAATATTCCTGGTTGGTCAGATATTAGTAAATTCAGGTTGATCAGGCAATCTGAAGATCTTAAACTGGTCAAACATTCAATTGGCTCTCTCAAGATGGCAGATCGGTTAGGAAGTACTTAAAAGATCTCCAGCTGATCGAAGATTTCAATAAAGTCCTCTGGATATTTTTCAAGGCTTCAGGATGATCAAGTATTATTGTGAAAATATTCTCCGAAAACTGAACGTTGATTAGGAAGTATTCAAAAGTTCTCCAGCTCAAATATTTCCGTGAAGTCCTGTGAATATTCAATTGGATCGAATTTTATTCTTAAATATCCGATTGTGGTTAAATTATTCCTATTCAACATATTCAGGAAGAAGCTAAAAATATAAAATCAAAATCTTCATTTATTTAGCAATCTTCATATGCCAGCTTAAAATTTAAAAAAAAATCCATCGGAAGTCTGCTTCAGCTTCCGCATGCATTGAAACAACTTCACATATCATTAAATGTCTTCAAAATGGCTGCATGAAAAAAATACCTTCACAGAATTTCAAATGTCTTCAAAATGAAGATATGTCCTTAAATCTGGTGTCCTTAGTATTGAAGAAATCTTCTTTTTTAATCATTTTTCTAAGGAGATGAAACATGCATCTTAGAACATCGTTAAAAGAAATTAGAAACATACGAATATTAAAACAATTTACTGTGTTGAATTCCCGGGATATCAAATAAATATTTCTCGAATTCCGGGATGGTGGAAACCACCGGGAAATGGAAGCTCTAGCTGTCAATGATACTTGAGTGAGTATTAAATGCCAACCAAAGCATGCATTTGTAAAGGGTAAACGCTCCTACAGTTGCGTAACGTTAGAAGCATTAGGTTTCTATAGTTGTGTATTGAGTCTCCATGCACAACTATAGGAACCTAGCGCTTCTAACGTTCCGCAACTATAGGAGCGTTTCCCCTACTGTTGTGGATAGCACAATGATACTCTATACCCAGGGAAGTCGAGAAAATTTACTGAGTCCCCTATTGCAGGAATATGGAGAGCTTATCCAAAAGATTGTGATAGAAGAGTGTCACGAGTTAAGAAAGTTTCTTTATGTTGATAAATTAAAATCATGCTTAAAAATCTTGGAATTCCAGGGACTCCATGCAGTCTCATTTCTCTGACGGAAAATGTGATTTCGTTACATTCTATAAACATCCGGAAGAGCTTTAGAATTTATGACACTCTGAATGAATCAGATTTTTTTTTTCAAAGTTGCGGATCAGTGAAAACTTTCCACTCTCCAAAAATTCCGAAGAAACAGAAATTGGCAGAAATCTAGGAAAACCTAAAACCCACACAGCAAGAAAAGTTTTGTGAAATTAAATTTTTTACATGCAAACTTCGTGCCAAACGCATGTTAATTAACAAGAAAAAATGCGTAATTCTACATCATTAAACATGCAAGTGTTTCATGATGCACATAACCAGCATGCAAGTATATGTGATTTGGTTGTAAACTTACATGAAAATCATGTAATTTTACACGTTTAAGGTAATTACATACCAAAAGCTGTTACATGCTCCGTTTTGTAACAGATTACGTTGCATGTATTTTTTATTACTTTAGAGTGTAGATCGAGAGTCACTAGAGTTTTTGACTATTTCTGGAGAACAGATTTCCAGAATTCTGAAAGTACCAGACCTTCTCTAAGTGACAGGAACTTTGAGAAATTTTGGAAATTTGAAAAAAATTTGAGGCACCTGTGCAGAAGTTTTGGCACAAGATACCGAACTAATTGCAATCACATTATTCGTTTTGCATCAAATGGCATGCTTAAAAAATAATTCACAATTTTTGTGAAAACTCAAAATTAAAACAAAAATTAGATATTGACATGCTAAAATGGCGTATGGTATCATGATCCAAACATTTAATCATATTTTAGCATGTGAAAATACTCAACCTTCGGTTTTCTTAGGTGGTTAATTTTTTGAATATATCTAATAGCATTTTTTCTCAGCTTTCAGATGGCGAGCTCAGAATCAAAATGGGTGGTTGCTAACAATAATACGTTTTCCTGATAAAATCCAACATGGCTGCCAAATCCAAGATGGCCGCAAAAAAAAAGTCATTCCGAATGGGAGCCCTTCACTTCCTCTTCATAATAACGTGTTGTTTGCAGGAGGGCTCCATATGGAAATTCAAAGATTTAACATGATAAATATGTTAAAAATTGCTGGAAATTCAACTTTTTTGAAAACAGTAAGGCCCCTTGGCGAGCGAGGGGTCTTATAATTTGAGCGAGGGAAAGTGGCAATCTTATTTTTTCATCAGTTTCGGCCAGCCAAGTGGATATTTAAAAATATTTAAAGACCATGTGCGAATGGCGGCCTGGTTGCAACGAGAATTACTCACACGTTATAACCTTATTTTCTTGAGAGCTTACAGAATTGACAGTTCAGGGTGTTATTGAGTTTCAAAAGATGTAAAATGTTTTCGGGAGTTTTTGTAGATCCGAAAATTTCTGGAGCTCTGTGAATTCTTTAGTTTCTAGAAATACCCAGTATTGCAATAGGTTTTCTTTTGTGATGGTCAATGTTGCCACAACCGACATTTCTGAAGTCAATAAATTCTCAAAACATCTTTAAAATGTTCTAGAAGAGTTTGTCTGCGTTTGGTGCAACGCAAGTGTCTAGAAATTATAAGTATATGAAAAGTTTTTTTTTAATTACCTCAATTTCAGGAACAATCTATCAAATTGCAATAAGTTCTAGAAGACGTTTGTAAGTTGCTTCTGGGGAATTTCTTAGGAACAAGTGGTTTTTCAGAGCTCAGACTTTTATCATATCAGGGGGCTTCTTAAGTTTCAAAAGTTGTAAAATGACGCTAGGAGTTTCCAAAGTGCTAAAAATTTTGGAAAATCATGTAGTTGCGGGAGCTCTCATAGTTTCAAGGAGGTCCGAAATTTCAATAGTTTTCAAAATTAATGCAATTCTTAGCATTTCTCCATTTCTGAATTTCAAGAAATAAAAAGTTCTTCATACCAGAAACCAAAAATTGGTTTGCAAACACCCATACGGAAATATGATGCAAACAGAGTCGCTAAACATTTAAAACTTCAACGTCCAAAATCCGTCCACGAGCTCCATGTGAATCAAGCGATCCATCCACCAAAGAGTGCGCCAGATTTCACGCGCTATAATCGTCCAATACAATTTGGCAAACAAACTCAAAACAGATTTGTGCAAATTGCTCATTCAATTACACAAACTTCACACCACCCGGCGCACCGTAACAATGTCCATTCAGCATCTATTAGCATTCCAGTGACCACCAAACGCAACAATCATCGCCAAATGCTTGGAAAATCACTCGCACGCGTCTTCCGTCAGTCCCAGTTTTCCATTGTGTCCAATCTTATCGCATTGGAAATTCACACACTTCCTTCTCTCGGCGGTCAGTTCAACCAACAACCGGCATTGCATCAAAAGCTCTAAACTCATTCCGTGACCGTGAAGTATCCTGCTGTTGCTGCGGCTGCATCACCAGTACAGAATTCTTCATAACTCGACTCGACTCCTCTCAGCGGCGGTGGCATCAACAATTAGAGCAACCATTTGAATAACTAATCAGAACTCTCACATAATAATCAACGGCATATCCGGGTCGGGCAAGTGCGCTGGATCCAAACACGGCCAGGACAAGCAGCAGAGTAGCAGCAACTCGGGACACCATTTTTCCACGATCTTTTTTCTTCTAATTGATCACAAACAACAAACAATTCTAATTCTTGGCAAACACTGACAACCGAACTGGCGCTTATTCAATCGGATACTGTACCGTTGACGGATGGCAAATTTGGTTTTATATGGCTTCGGATCTCCTTCTCTCGAGTCTCTAGTACTGCGGTGGCTACTTTTTCCCACTGTTTGGGTGCTGCGCTACCTTTCCGAGGCACGCTTCTCACTCACGGTGGCAATCTTGCAGGCTAAACAGCAACCACGGCGACGAGCGGTGGTTTAGATGAGCGCTCTCGCGGTTGCAGCATTCGCACGTGCTAGCGTTGTCGGCGTCGTCGTCGTCGTCGTCGTCGTCGCTCGGAAAAGGCATAGCTCATTAGCACATGGGGGAGTTGCTGGACAAACAGACGGTGGTAGTGATTTCAATGATGGTGGAAAATGCGCGGAGACGAACCTGTTGGCAGAACTGATCTTGATTCTGTTGAGACTGTCGGACAGGATGCAGAATTGGCGCCGGGTTTTGAATCGAATGGAGGATGTAGTTTCTTCGTGACAATGTGCCATGGTAGGATATCAAAAGGATGTCTATCAATGCTTGATTGGATCAGGTAGGCAAAAGAAGCCGGAGCTATGGATAAAACAAATCATCGATATGGATTATCGATCATGACTGCGAAAACTGTCAATTATGTATATACTTAATAGAATGCAGACTTACAGACGGGAATGCTTATGTGTGAATGATTCGCGATACGGGCAAAAAACCATCCGGAAATATGGATTCCTAACTGCACCATTATCAGGTTGTGATGTAATATTTGGCGATGTAGATTGGTACTGAGCGGTATTTAATTAATGTACATTATTATGAGTAAGACCGACAAAGTTGGACATTTTATCAAGAAAGGTCAAGTGTGAAATTTGACTGCATGACCCTCTGGTTATGCATTTTCAGATATAGCTCTCCTTCGACCACTGGATAGTAGCATGCGCATGGCTCATGTTACCTCGGTGGCAAGTCACCAGAAGTCCCGTAACCTGCATATGAATATGTTTCAAGCCAAGAGAATCCCCGTTCCATTGAATTCACGTTTTTCTCATTTTACGCCCCTTAGATAAAGTCTTACGTTCTCGGCGTATTCAACAATAACTTTTACCACGTCAAATGGTGCAGCATCATTTGCCCTAGCTTTTATAGTTCTGGAGATAAAGCCGCAGACATGGTGAGTAGTAATTTTGGAGGAACTTTGTTTGACCTTTATTGGCTCCTAGAGCCTCAGGGTAGGCATCTATCCACGTGACATGTGCTGAGTGATAGAGCATGAGCATGATTGACCGCCCTCTGTTGCTACTCTGTTATTGCCAGATCAGCAGTAATTACACGGATAACCTAGAGACATCCACAGTCTAAACTTTGTACTGCTCTCGACGTACTTACTGATACTTGAAAATATTAAAAAAATCTTAAGAAATACCTAACGACAGTTTGTTTGTTCAGCTACTATAGACAAATTTCAGTTGTTTATTTTTCTGCCATCAGAGATTTTGCGTGGATTTGTATAACTTAATACGAAATTAACATTTATGCAATTAATTATACTTTTCATCCGCCAGGATCTTGATAGCGTGATAATGGAACATGGCATTTGATCCAATGGGAGCTAAATCGGAATTTATAAGAGTTTAAAAATCATTAGATTCGAATCGAATTTAGATCTAAATTTGGAACGGGGTTTAAAATTGGTTATCACACAATTCATTTCACTGGAGATTTTGAAACTTTCCATGTGGACATTACGAACCATAAGGTATGAATTCATTGGGCGAAGATTATAAACTATCGAAAAACCAATTATTTAACCCTGAAGAAACCGACCGAGTTGAAACTTTATCGAAACCATTTGAAAAACCATATTGTTATTTTTGATTTATTGTAAACTCTAGATTATATTGTCCAATGAAATTATACAAAATAAAAAAGCCTTTATTTTGTAATACATTTCATGTATAAATCTTGAATATGTTACACTCCCATATGATTGACACACTTGACTGACTAATATTTTTTTTTTTTCTGAGGGGAACTATACAATTTTAAAGCTTTTCAAATATTTCTACAATAATTTATGTGGATCAAGAGGAAAATGAATCAGAAAAATGCATTCTTGGTGCAATTAATTTTTGCCTTTTGAATCACAAAAAATAGATATCTTGTTAAAGGTTCCGTTGGAATGGAATTACATACTCCTTACAATGAATCCAAAACTTCATATTAAATTTATTTTTGATTTTATCTATTTAAATCATTAACCCGAAGGAGCAAACAATAACAAATACATTACTAGCAACCGACCATAAAAATAATGCCACTACGATAAAAAAGAAGTTAAGATTTAAAATTCCTAAGAATACTTTAGAATACTTACGATCAATTGAAAAAAAAATAAACATCGTACCTTAACTTTAGAGTGTGATGTCACTAGCAGAGAACCAATAGACGATGTTTGGGACTATAATTCATCCTCAATGTGTAAAAAATTGTGATCTCCAATCAAGCAATACCAGCGCCAGCCACGCCCGAGCGCAGGTCAAGAAAGGAATGAGTAGGAATAAGTTGACGTAATACTCGCTTTAATGAATGCCGAAACACTTCGCACTTCCACGAGAAATCATACTGCGATGTTGGATAAAAGGGTTGAGATTGCAGCAGGATTCGTTTTGGTAAACGATATGCTGAATTGAGCCCACTGCTCAGTAAGCAAAATCGGTCACCACTAAGCCACTGAGCTCCTTATACCACAAAACAATTACGATCAAGTTCAACTTGATGTTATTAGGTTTTGATCCCGGCGGTAATCTCACCAACGATGACAACAACTGCTCTTGAGAAGGTTTTGGTATGAATGTCCGATCAACACATCTTTCCTGAACCTCAAACATAATGTGAAGAAGCTTGGGATTGAACCCATGATTTTCTGATCAGTAAACAAAATCGGTCGCCACTAGGCCACCGAGCTCCTTATTTCACATAACTATTACGACCAAGTCCCTTTTCAACGTTACTACGATAACATTTACTCTTGAGAAGGATTTATTACAGATTTCCAATCAACGCATCTTTTCTAAAACTCAACTATTATTTATTTGAAGTTCTCGCTCCTTCAACCGAATTTAAATACGCTTTATCTCATATTAAGAATAAAACGCTAAAATTCTCCAATGAGAAGGAGCTTGAGAATGCACCCATAATTTTCTGCTTAATACACTGGAACCTCTATTTACGTACCAAACCGGAGGTTCGTAAAACGAATTAGTGCGTAAAAAACCTCGTTATTTGGGATTTACTTCGTAAAAAGAAAACTCGTTATTTGCGATTTACTTCGTTAAAAAAAAACCTCGTTATTTGGGATTTACTTCGTAAAAAGAGGTTTTTGAAAATATTGTCAAATACCCAACAATATTGATATTTTTGGAATCGAAGAGACGTGTAGGGACCGGAAATCGATGTCTGACGCCATTTTGAAATCCAAGATGGCGGCATCCGGTTCATGCAAAACTGTAAAATACTTTCAACATCCCACAATATGGGTATTTTTGGAATCGGAGTGACCGGTAGGAACGTCACTCTGATTCCATAAATACCCATATTGTGGGGTATTTTACATTATTTTTCAGTTTTTCTGTACCCGGATGCCTCCATCTTGGATTCCAAAATGGCGTCATTCAGGGATTTCCGGTTCCTACATGTCACTCCGATTTCAAAAATACCCATATTGTGGAGTATTCACAGTTTTTACCAGATTACCATAATCGCAAAAAAACTCGTTATTTGGAATTTACTTCGTAAAAAGAAAACTCGTTATTTGGGATTTAGTTCGTAAAAAGAGGGATGTAAATAGAATACTGCGTAAAAAAAGACTTCGTAAACGGAGGTTTCAGCGTAATAGGCCATCTTATATTAAAAACAAAGTTACGATAAAGTTCCCGTTCAACTTACTGTTACTAGACTCCGGTCCTGGTGGCGACCTCCTCAAGCAGCACACTTGTCACTGAACAGTTTTAGTTACTTGTATGCAACTTATTTCAGTCACAATAAAGTTGCAGCGACTTATTCTGATGGAAATGTGCTACTTGGGCTCACAGACGAAGACACAAACTGCTCCTGAGAAGGATTTGATTTTCGACAAACACGTCTTAAATAGATGATCTTCTATTCAGTTAGCAAAAGTGGCAGCCATCCTAACTGAGTTACTGAATAAATTTTTTGGAGGCGATATTTGTTAAAGATTGAATTAAATTCAAACAAATAACTGGAAAGATCACATCCGAATGATCTGTAATTAGTCAGCCTCCTAATGTTTCATAAGCTGAAAATCAATTGTTCTTCCAAGTATATCGCTTTAAGAATATAGGGGAAATGGCTAAAAATCTGCTATTTATCTAGATGAACGCGTCATTGGGACGTTATTAATGGATATTTTTGGTCGCTATTGAAAATATAGTCGATTGCTAAATTTATGTAAAGTCCCAAATTAGGGGCATTTAGGCCAACATTATATCCATTTCTCCTATATATTATGATGGGTCATCATGCCCATTTTTCAGAAAAACGTTTTTTTTTGGTTCCATTTGGCGTTCCAAACAACTGTGCAACATTTCGGGACGATTGTTTGAAGCCCGGCTTTCGACATTGCTTTTGAAATTTGTGTGAAATATAAAGCTTTAATTTGAAATGTTAAACTGCCATTAGGGCCACCCCCATATAAAAAACACAGAAGTAGTCCTACGTCAAAAACCAAAAACAGGAGAAAAGGAAAAATGTCTTCACGAGTTTCGGCTCAGACACAGGTACAGTAGGAGTTCGCTCGGCACCGACAGTGTTGGCAGAAAAGTGATTTTTGGCATTTAATTCGAAACATTGATCTTTGAAAACCTATAACTTTTTTTAGAAGCATTTTAGCATAGTACATTCTTGAGCAATGTTGTTAGGTACTTCTTGGTATAGTCCAAGCAAAATTGTGGTCTCTAGGAATAAAGATGTGAAAAAGTAGGATTCCCATACTAATTTCCATACAAATTTCAAACGC